AACAATCATCAGAGAATCTTCTTCTTGCTGTGGATGATAATTACCACAGAGACCCACAACTGAACAGTGTGCAGGAAGCAAACTACCTTGGAGTGCTCAGTCCTAAATTGGATGCTCTTATCACATCCTACCCCTTGAGGTTTAGGGATCTATGTGGAATAATGAGTGTTGAGGCTATAAGAGCTAGAGGCTTAGGTGATTTTAGATAAATAGCATTTCTAGAACCAATGAGACTGATACACATATGAATTTACAGAGACAATAAATAGCTTTCCTAAGACCTGCACAAGCTCAAACATATCATAGTAGGGAAGAGGGTAAGTGGGAACAAATTTCCATCCATGGCCTAGAAGCTATTTGCAAAAGATTTCAGTTGGGGAAGGGGAAATCAGTGTTCTTTAATAGAGTGGCATTACTTACATCAACCAAGCTGAAGGACAGGCTCTATGCTCAGGATATTTGTTCAACACTAATTGGGTTCTGTTTTTGGATACTTTTTTAAGTAAAAGAACTTGAAGTGGTATAGATATGGATGAAGGGAGGATATGGAAGGAATTGGGGTTTAGGAAATAATATAAAATATATTGTTTAAAGTTCTTCATGAATAAGTTATCAAAAGATCAAAACATAACCAAAATTTTACTTAGTGTTTCTTATAAAAATACTACATAAAAGCAAATAATAATCAAAGGGGGAAAAGGAGATGTGTACTTGCTATTTATCTTTATTATGCAGTAGCTTATTTTTTTGCTTATTTATTTAAATTTGTGTTAATCTTATTTGTTTAGCATGAACAAAAAAGCCTACTACTTTGATAGGTTTTAAGCAAGAAGACTCATCATCCAATTATGCATTATACCTAAATAAAATGAAAATTAGTCAATGTCATAATTTACTTTCTAAACCTTAAGGAAGGTCAAATAGGCACTGGAAACTAAAAAAATCACCCTGTAGCTGTGATTAACTTTGTTCTAAACCCATCCCTGACTCTTTATGCATAAAAGTTACAACAGGGAAGTTTTTGTGGCAGTTAAATATGCAGAGGGACATTCATCTCCAGTGTGATCATCTGATAGCTAACAACTGCTTAAGTAATGGTAAAACATAGTCTGTAAATCTTGTTTCATAATTGAAAATCCTAAAATCAGTCATAGAAACCCAGTCATTGACAATCCAATAAGCTCTCCAATATGACAAAGGGGAGGGAGAGGATATAGGCTTGGATACACATTAAAAATTGCAAACTGTCTGCAGTCCGGATGAAAGTAACTGAAACCACATGTTCCCCAGATGCATAATCATCAGATATTATGGAGGACACATTATTGTAATTCACTGTGCTGCTCATGGTCTTAAAGAATTAAGAGCACATTCATAAAGTCCAAATTTGTCTCCAAGGAACTGGGGACTTTCTGGATCAAGAGGCAATTTCGTTAGGTCAAAGTAGAAGCAGTTTGTCTTTGAGCATGTTTCCCTGGCAGAGTGGATGTAACAGAAGTTATTATCAGAGGAACCTTCTTCCCAAACAATTCATAGAGTCCCCAGGATAATTTTGAATTTCAGAGTGTTAAATGCATTGTATTAGCGCTAAAATATTAATTTTCTTGAAATCTCATCTTACCTTTCTTATCATTTTCTTCACTTACATACTTATAGTATGTAATATTCCTTGTAATATTCCTTCATATAATTTTCATTGTACATTTATTTGAGTATTCTTTCCTCTCTATAATCCATTATGACTTAATTCACATTTACATGATAAACTTTGTTTCAATATTGTATTTATTCATCATATGTTTATGTTCCAAATACACTAGGACCTTACATATTTGTGATCTTTTATAATTATCTTTTTATTATTAGTATAATCATTACACAAAATAATGGCTTTCCTTATTATATTCCCATATATAAATATATATATATGTACAATAAATGTACATATATATGTATAAATATGCCATACAATAAATGTCAAGGTGTTTATATATATACATATATATGTATAAATATGCCATACACCTGGATATTTTTTGTACATGTATATATGCCACACATCTTGATATTTATTGTATGTATATTTCTGTTGAGTGGGCTTCCTTTGTTATTTAATTTTTTCTGCTCACAGTCACTGGTTAAAAAAGGTTTATTTATAGAGAATACCTAAATGTCTGTATCTATCTGATGTGCTACAGAAGAAGCTATATTGTCAGTTGAGTATGCAACATGCCATTGGGTCTTGGCCAAGAAGATTTAACATTGCAATAAAATAAAAGGAATTATGTGGCAAAAATAAGTAGAGAAAAAAATATGCCCTTAGATTATAAAAATAATGAGCTTTTCCTAACTGGCGATATGGATCTTGGAGCTTGGTTGAAGCAGTCCAGGGAAAAAAGGAAGAGCTTCCTTGGAATACCTTAGAGCTATTGGTTAAGATTATGTTTGCTGTGAAAAACACATACAACAGTTGCCACAAATCCAACCACTTTCCAGTAATCCCTATTTGATATGTATAAGTGAGATTTTGAAGTGGCCCATCTGCAAATCATTGCGCATATCTTAACATTTAATTCATAATATGTTTGATATCTCTTTTTGTTAAATTAAAAGTAGAAAATTATGATTGTATATTCAAAGAATATGTACCAACACAGAATGTCACGTGCTTTTGAGATTTAATAGACACTTTTCTGCTATATCTATCTACATTCTCTAGCCATCTGTATTTATATGATAGATAGATAGATAGATAGATAGATAGATAGATAGATAGATAGAAAGATAGGTAAAGAGATGATAGATAAGAATAATGGAGATATACAATAATAACAAATTTTGGTTGTGGTACCTAAAGCTATACTTTGATGAATTTATTCTCATGTAGATTATTATAGTATATCATACTATAATAAAATATGTATTACCCCAAAATAGCAAAATCCAGGACCACTTTATTTCTCACTTCCCTACATTTCTCCAAATTTCCCATACTTCGTATGCTAGCTACAAAATGTTTAGGTAAGGGCTTTATTTGTAAGGACAATTTATTTATTCCAATAAGCATAGTGAACGATTTAACTATTTATCTTATGATATGGAATTTTTCTAATATAATAGGTGTGTGTGTGTGTGTGTGTGTGTGTGTGTGTGTGTGTGTGTGTGTGTGTCCTATGGACATTGTTTTGGTTTAAAAATAGAGTCAATGATTTTTCTAAATTCATACTGATATTTTTAATTCACACAATGTCTTCTAAACAGCACTGCCACTTACCTTTTTTTCTTGAAGTACATTATATTATTATTTTTCTCTCCCTCCATCTAGAATATAAAACTCTGTTTTCTGGGATTACTTTCTAATAAGACATTTTTCTTTCTGTTTTTCTAAATCTCTTGCAGTCATAACACTGCATTAGAAAAGGCATCTCTTTATCAGAAAACGCCGAAGACATGCAGCCCTCACTGTGCACATTAAAACTAGAAATTTACATGTTGTATCTTCAGCTGGCTTCTCAGGTGACTGAGAGAATGCATTCTGGAATGTATGATAAGTCATATACAAAGGGTAAAACACGTTTATAGTAAATCCATGCAACTTTTCCTTAACTAATAATGTGCTTCTAACGTTGGTGAGTGAGCACAATCCTCATTGCGTATTTAGGACATGGTAGGGAAAGCAAAGATCCTCCTATAAGAGGCATCAGTCTTAGGAAATACAACCATGTCTCCTACTTACAGTTCAAGATCTAATCTGTTTGAGAGCATTAACCTTACCTTCAAAATATGATAGAGACCAGGAGTTATTTAAACTGTTATCATGGCTTAGCTGTAGTGATGCAATATTCAAGACATAATTTTAAATTTCCTTTATGGAGCTAAGGAGCTGTCTCAATTTGTAAAGTGCTTGATACTGCCAAGAAAGCATGAGGCACTGAGTTCAGATCCCCTGAACCCCCATAAGAAACCAGGTGTCACAGTGCATTCCCGTAATCCAGGTGCTGTGGAGGGACAGTGAGGAGATTGACAGCAGGCCACCTAATCTGACTAGTGATTTCTTGTCTCAAAATATGGTAAAGAGTGACTGAAGAACACATTCCATGTTTACCTCTGTCCTCCACATGCTCACACATGTATGTACATAAACATACACATAGGAACATTTACATACACACTAAATCAACTTTCTTTAAAGGTATAATATATTATTTACCAAATCTTATTTTAAAACAAAAATAGGACTTTGCAAATTTAAGCTGACAGTAAAATGTGATGACAAATTTAGTTTCTGTTTTTTATTAATTATTTTGAGTCAGGGTCTCTAGTAGAGCTAGATAGACTTAAACTCAAAATGTATCCAATGCTGGCCTTGAACTTATGATTCTCCTGGCTCCCATGCACAAGTGCTGGGGTTACAGGTATGCATTTGCTATATCCAGATCATATTCAAGTTCTTAATAATAATGATGTCATTGTACTTTAATAATTATTTTCTATCAATGACTTCATGATAGCACAATTATGATTTGAAAACACTGGAAATATTTAAACAAAAAGTGATTTTACATATTTCATTCTAGGTAATATATAAAGAATGAAAAATACCTCCTTTTTTGGTTCATTTCTGGTTCCAATTCAATGTAGACCTTAATAGTTTACTGTGAGCTAAGAATTACTAACAGTTTTCTGTGAAATTCGGTAGCTATCCTCATCACTGAATAGTGTCAATGGCAACTACGTCATGTCTGAATGAACTACACATTTAAATATAAGTAGATATTATGAGTCAAGTAAATCAATTCCTTAGGAAATAGTTAAAGATGGTGCATATTCTATTCATATGCATTCATAGTGGTTAGGGAATAATGAAAGTTTTTAGAGTAAATTAAATTTTTTACATAAAAACAATAATGACTTCCTATAAGTAGGATATCTACATCAGCATGTAGAGAAACTTTAAAGAGGGTTCATAGCATTGATATAAATTTGGTTTGTCCACTCACCCACAGGAGACATTTCTGGAACACTAGCAACATAAGGTCCATCCAGAAACTTTGGTTCATTATCATTAATATCCTGCACTTTAATGATAAACTCAGATTCAGGCTCCAAGGGCTTCCTTGTTTCTATGTCCACTGCCTGAGCACGGAGTGTGTAGAAGGGCTTCTCTTCTCTGTCCAGACTTCTTATGGCATGGATGTCTCCTGTAGTTTCATCAATTGTAAAAACTGTGCCAGCACCATCTCCAGAGAGCGTGTATTTAACAGTGCCCTCTCCTTTGTCCAAGTCGGAATGCAGCTGAGAAAGAGACACAGAGAGAGACACAGAGCTAATTACATGCAGTACAATTTATTTCATCAGATAAGTTAAATTACTACTTCACAGATTTTCATGTTATAGCGACAACGTCTTGATTCTAGAAACTAAAGATGTGGATCATGAGATAACTCAGAAGGTCCAGAGCCTGTTCTGTAACAAGAGGACCTGAGTTCAACCTCTAGAACCTATGTGATGCATTATATAGTCGATAGCATTGTCTGCAGTCTTAGCATTGATACTGAAGGATGGGAGGCAGAATTAGGAGAATCCCTAAAAGTGTAGAGGCAAACTATAATTGTATAGAAGACAGTAAAAGAGAGTCACTGAAACAAATGAGAAGGAAGGTGCAGATGAATACTCAAAGCTGTCCTCTAACCTCCAACAACCCATGGCATCCACATGCCTAAACCCACTCAACTCCATAGGCACACATACAAGAACTGATTTTAAGATAATGAAATAAAAATTAAAATTCACAAAAGTTGGGTTTTTTTTTGATACACTAGCTACATGTGTACTATATTGACTGATAGTCTTAACATTTGGATTTCTTCAGATATGTTAATCCTATATTCATGATAAATTATAGATATTAGAAATTTACAGTCCCTAGTAAACCAACAGGCCTAAAACAATTTATTTTGACAGTTTTCTTTAGTTAACATACATATTTTCAAGAATAACATAGTCATAGATTGAAATGAGACACATCATATGTATAGCTATTGTTTCATTTTAATGATCACTGTTTAAAGAAATATTAAATCAAAAATAATAAACTATGAGCTCCCCAAAGACAGGAATGTAGGATCCAAGGACTGATTCCAGCAAGATATGAAGTAAAATGAAATTATGGGAACATGACCTAAAGGAAAGAGTGAATTTTTTCAGTGAGTGTTCAAATGAGTTGTCCAAGATTAGGTGGTTGGTTGCAAAAAATCAGTTATTATGCTTTCAGAATAACAGATGATTAATTCTATCTTGTTCTGTGTAAGAAATATCCATTATTTATATACTGGAAATATTATAATTTATTTAGCTTATTTTGATATTCAATACATGTTCATGTTATTAGATTATATCATGGAATTGGTTACAGTTTAATGCCAATTAAGAAGAAACTCAAACAAGAATACATGTGTCATTATGATACATTGAGTCACTATTGTTCAAAGTGAAGTCCAAGAATAATTGAGAGATGAACATAGCCTTGGAAATCAATAAGCCATTACAGAACTAAAAAGAAATACATTAAATATTGTATACATGAAATATTATGTTACAAATAAGTTCATCAACCATACTATATATGTAATGTAAATAAAATGTATTAAAAATGTAAATGTATTGTGTAATATTTTAATTTTAATTTTAATTTAAATGTCTGTGTGTACATATGTACATTTGAGGGCACTATATATAGAGGCCAGAAGAGGAGGGTATTTGGTCCCAGGAAGTTTGATTCAGAAGTGGTTGTGAGCATCATGTTGTGGGTGATGGGAATCAAACTTGAGGCCTCTGCAATAGTAGCAAGCACTCTTAACCTGTGTTAGCCCCCAAAGCATATGTTCTTATAGATTACGCTATTTTCATTCAAACGTTGATCAAAATACTGCCAAGTGCTCACTTGAGAATAGATATTTGGATTAATTGTTCAAGTTTACATTTAAGAGTCTATTTTAATCAGCACATCACTTAAAGGAAGCATGCTATACTTTGAGAGTGACTGTAATCATTTTTGTCTTGACCTTAAAATTTATATGCAGGCAAGGTTCTACTAGAAGATATTTTGTTATCATGAATTTTGGTTTTATTAATGTTTCAGCAGGAAATATAGCTTTAAAATTATTTTCAAGTGTTTTCTTATCCTTTTATACTTAGATTTCTGTGAATTGGCATTAAAATTTATGATCAAAAAATTCAATTAAAAGTGTAATCTCTGGTTATACCTTTAAATGTCAAATTAAACATTTTGGTTCAGTTTCAGTATAATAACACCACTCAAAATGTTATTAAGATGAATTCATTCATGTTATAAATTTGTATTTATATCTAAATTTTCTCTGAAGTATATTTGCTACAGAATATAATTATAGGAATTTAAGAATGATGAAGAGAAATATTTAAAGAAATAAGAAAATGGCAGACTCTATGATTTGGATTATCCTTTAAAAGATTTTATGCATTTTTTTCAGCATAAGGGATATTGCTGGGAATGATGGGATGAAGGGTTTTTTTTTCCATCCTATTTTTTAAAACTGCTGTAAAGCATGGGGAATTTGAAGCATAAAATCAAGCTGTAGAAAAATGTTCTTTGAACTTATGAATTTCAAATCACAATTGTCAAGCACACTATTAAAGACATTCAATGCAGTGGGTATTGCTTTCACTTTCAAATTTATGTTAAGGTATAAGACAGGCAAAGGCTCAATGCAATAGGGATGATTTTCGGAGCAGTAACCAGTTTGCAATGGCTTAGAGAATACGTGCAGATATTTTGGGAACTGAGTGAAAATCTTAATTGGGTTTTCACAGTGCGATTCAAGTAAAGTTACCCAAAAAAAAAAAAATCCATATCATTTGATTAAAGTCAAAACTGTTTTCTTTTCAAACTGACTTAAAAATATGAAAGCAGATGTGCTGTCAGGCCTCTCTAAAATCCAAGTGAAATCCAGTTGCTGCTATTCCCTCCTCTAACTTCTGTCGTTAACCTTGTAATTTAAAAAGGCTGGTCTTACAGAGGTTAAAATGTCAGCAGCAATATGTTTAAAAACATGCTAAAACTGATGGCTACAATAAATTGATAAATACACACCTCATTTTAGTGGTGAATCACACCATGGTGTCTTTTAATAATACTTGTTTTTATTTTAGATATAGGAGTGTTTTGTCTGCATATGTGTTTGTGCATCCCATGTGCTCCTAGTTTCCAGGGATGCCGGAAGAGGACGCCAGTCTCCTGGAACTGGAGTTACAGACAGAGAGCTGAGAGTCGTTAAGTGGGCTCTAGAAACTGAAGTCAGGTCTTCTGCAAGAACACCAAGTGTGTAACACTGAGTTATCTCTCCAGTCTCTGTACAACCAAAATATAGAAAGGTATCACAGACACTCACAGCTGCTTAGGCAAGAGTTACCACAACTGATTCAGTGCTGATTGATAGAGGCATCTGGTTGACCGGAACCAGATATAGGGTTGACCCACCGTCAAATTACCCAGTATCTAATTGACCTACATGTGTGCAAACTAATGACAATGAACTTGGTATTGAGTATTGTAAAATCTCATTTAGTGAAAATGTAACACGGTTTTAATGTGAAATTGTACAAGATCATATAAATCCTGTTTTTTTACCTGATGACAATTCCTTTAAACATTTTTTTTTAAAAGACCGATTCTCACTGTGTTGTCCTGGCTGGCCTAGAACTCCCTATGTAGACCAGGATAGCCTCAAAGTCACAAAGACCCATCTATATCCACAACCTGAGAGCTGAGATTAAAGAAGTTCATCATATGTAACTTAACTCTTTATGTTTTGATTATATAGGTATGTAAACTTAGGAAACAAAAATGGTAAAACAAATATATATTGCTCTGCAAATGTAATCATATAATTATTTCTCTATGTACTTATATTTGATTTAAAATTTAGTAGCCATTTTCCAATTACTAAACCCATATTCTATCTCCATGTTGTCTGAGGTTTTAAAAATTATCCTTTTAGATTCAGCATTATATTCATATATTGAAATAGACTTAGTTAAAGGACAGTGCCAATTTTCTCATAAATGATATGTTGAATGTGTGTACGAGGGAGTATTCATTTGTGTGTTTTCTTCTGTTTATTTCCTTAAAATAAAATGTAACTGTGAGGATGGAAAATGTGGCATTTTTATGAATCTTAAGAAATGTTGAAACTTCAGTGTTTCCAGCAATTGATCTCAATACATAAAATTGCTTTCTCCAGTTTTCTGGTGATGGATTTTAGCCTCCGTTTATGCCATGTAGCTAATTTTATGTCTTATTTCCAAAGGAACTGAGAATGTCATTCCTCATCTTTGGATGGTGTTAATTGTTAAAAATATAATACTACATCATTTTCTGTAGTTGTCTAAAAATTCACACCAAAAAAAATACTAATTATATAAAAATAACAGTTATAATTGTGTCTTCTCCCAAGCATTAAAAAGGTTTTTCTGAGTAGGTGTTACAACATTTGCTGACTGAAGCCGCCAACTCCAATAAGATCATCCTTCAGTATTGACACTTAAAATAACCGTTCCCCCCCAGAAAGAGTCCCATAAATGATGGATGTAGAAATAGACACTGTCCAGATAGTTTCTGTGTGTGTGTGTGTGGAAGTGATGGTGTTATTTTCTATGTATTCCAAGTCATCTCAGATGGTGCGTGAAAATGAGATGCCGAGAGAGGCTTTAAAAAGATGCTGAGGCCTAGCTTCAGCAGAGAAACAAATCTTGAATTTCAGTGCTTAGAAGTTGGAGGAAGCTAATCTAAAGTTAAATGTTTCCTAGCCACTCTCCAAATGGGGTTTGGAACTGCTGCATTAAAAGGCAGTATGTTCATATTTTTTTGTGAGTTGAAAAGTACCCATCAAATTGAAAAAGCATGTGTATAAATATGCCCAGCACTGATTTTTATTTTCATTTGCCATTTGCCAGGGCATGTTTAATGAGCATGCAGAGAACATGGAGGTAGCTGGGAAGAGAAATATCTGGTTTGGGAAATGTAACTGTTTCTATAAAAATGAAAGAGAACACGGTACCCTTATGTTTTCAAGTGTAATCCTTTCAATGTATACATGAATGTAACATGTTGCAGGAATGTCATCCAATTACTAGTTTGTTGCTAAATATAACCAACCATTTAATATAAAAAAATGTTTATTGTTTTTATGTTGTGCACGAGTATCTTGCGTGTGTGTATGAGCTCATTCATGACATGGTACTTAGTTAGAGGTGAG